CCCAGCCTAGCTCTTACTGGAGACAAATCCTTGCTCACACCAAGAATCTGGGTGATAAATCCACTCTGCTCTGTGTTTTTGCCACTTCCAAGGAGTCTCTACCCTACCCAAACACCAACTCACTGTGATTTTTGTCACTTCCAAGGGGTCTCTACCTACCTAACCACAAACCAGTTCTATGATTTTGCCACTTCCTCAGGGTCTCTGTCCTACCTAAACACCAACCTACTCTGAGATTTTGCTACTTCCAAGGGGTCTCTGCCCTATCTAACACCAACCCACTGTGATTTTTGTCACCTTCCAAGGGGTCTCTGCTCTACCTAACCACAAGCCCACTGAGATTTTGCCACTCCCAAGGGGTCTCTACCTACCTAACCACCAACCCACTCTGATTTTGCCACTTCCAAAGGCATCTCTACCCTACCAAACCACACCAACACTCCCCTTGTTCTGTCACACCTCAATCATAAAGGTGAAGGACAACCCCTGTGGAAAAAGGGGTTTGATCCAGAAGGAATCTGAGGGAGAAATTATCCATGGTTGTGTGAAAGGGAGAAGGTAAAACTGGCCATGGCTCTGTTGTTTTGAGAGCTCCACCCCCCAGGGCTCCCCGGCGCACATCCAGCCGCAGACATGTGCACACACACACGCTCACACAGCTTTGGTTTGTAGGTATTTTTTTTCTTAGCAAAAAAATAAAAATTTATTGTCCTCTAAAAAAAAAAAAAAGAGAAAGGAAAAAAAAGAAAACAAACAAACAAAAAAAAATCCATCCTGCCCTTGGAAACTGTGACACAGATTTGAGTTCTTTCCAGCCCCACATGCAAATTCACTCTGCCAAGAAAAGAGTCTAAACCAGGTTTCCGACAGCCAAAACACATATTTACAGAGTACGAGAGAACGACAGCTGAAATCACAGTTCTATACATGGAATCAACAACACGTTTTACACCACTGATCACCATTCTGCCAACTTCTACACGGACTAGGGGCTCTTCTGCCCAGTGCCCTTCCTCCTGGGGAAAGCAGGGAAGGGACTGGGCATGAATTGCCACCAGAAATACTGCAGTGTGTATTATTATTTCTTTTTTAAAACGTATACTGTATTTAGTTTGTTTTAACATTGGAAGCTACGGAGTGGGGAAGCCCCAGGAATCTCTCCGAGATGCAGTCACTACTTTGCAGGAATACTTCACCTTTAAAATACTAGGTTTTACATCAGTAACATCTATTTTGCTGTTGGCCATCACTCCAAGGATTATTAGAATTCTGGAGGAAAACACTGGTCATAATCTTCCTTCTCAGATGGGGAAAAAGGAGGAAGAGAGGAGGTTTGGAGGCTGGTTGAACAGCAGTGGATGACTGAGTCCGGTCAGCGTTAGGGCCTTCCTCCCAGGGTAAGGAATTCTCTTCATTGTCTCAGCTGCACAAGCCTTGCAAGTGGCTCAGGTTCAGCTTCAGAGATGTACAGAAAGTGTAAAACCCCAGCGGGGGTGGGGATCTGCTTAAGGAAATGTGCTCCAGCTCTGAGACCTTGCCCTGGTCCCTGCGGTGCCACCACAGCTGGCACGGGGCTACAGCATCTAAGGCTGGAGATGAGCTAAAAGTGGTCCTGTGAGCCCAAAACTGGTGAAATCCTTCAGCTCCTGGCTCTCATCTACAGCTCTAGCCTTGCTTTTCGCTCTTGCTCTACACCCAGGATAGTGTTATCCTGAGCTATCATCTCCTAGATTGGTTTTCCACACCAATGTAAAAGTTGATTGACCTTTCAGATAGTGTGGTTTCACAACACAATTACAACTCCCTTCCCCCAGCTCTTAACTCACAAGTGTCTGACCTGCACAATTAGTCACTGAGGTCAATGCTTCTGAAGCTCCCAAACATACGTAGGGAGGAAAATGTCGTTATCCAACACGGAGTCTGTGTGAGGAGGCAGGACCCAGATGTGGTCAGGGCTGTTCAGCAGCAGCAGCTGCTCCTCAAGGAGCCTCGTGGACCCAAACTTCATTTTGAAGCCCCCTTAGATCTGCTGTGTTACTGCATGCCCTGTAAAGGGAGCTCCTGCTGCAGAAGGAAGCTGGACAGTATGTGACAGGGGCTGCACTGATTAGCACCAGGTTTATTTCAGCTCTTCTTACACCACACAGAAGCTGAGCACAGACTCTTAAACCTTAACTGCAGTGCTGTGATTATGGTTTGTCCTTCCTGCCTGGGGCAGGCAGCAACAACTGCTGGAGTGGGTCAGGAATGGTGCTCCTTCCCCCCTGCTCTCATCTCATTTGGTTTGGAAATTGTCATGTAAGTGGCCCCTCAGAACATTCACAAAATCTGCAGGGATGAAGTTCTCTTTTCCATCTGATGCTTAAGAAAATAAATTCACATTTCAGGTAATTCTTTCTGGTTTGTCGGTTTGGTTTTTTTTTTGAAAGCAGAAAACAAAATTCCAGGAAACCTAAATTTAGGAATTGTTTCTTCAAGAACCAGAGGAAAGTGAGAAACAAGTCTCTATGTGCTTGTGCAAAGAGAGTGCTGAGAGAGGTTGGGGTGGGGGCAAGGGAAGGGGCTAGTGCCAATTCCTTCAGGCTGCTCTGCTGTGAGTGCAGTGTGGCAATGGAAAGTTTAATTTTAAGGGCCACAAAGTTTGGTGAAGTTTGGAATTCTTTGGTCCTTCAGTCTAAGCTTTAAAACAGAGAAACTGTTTTTACTCAAAAGGGAAAAAACATATTTTCTCTGGCCTGGAATTTTTTTCCTTGCACCCCTCTGACCTAAGCAATGTACCCCATAGAAACTGAGGGCAAACAGTTTTTTATCCCTCAAATCTCCCAGTCCTGCATCACTCCATGACTGGAAATCCCATGGAGACAGCCAGAGCTGCCAGCAGGGGGCAAGTTCCAGCTGAAGGGACGAGTGGGAAGTGGATGCAGGAAGGGAGATGGGCACTGGACAGCTCTGGAAAAAGAGGATTGGTGAAAGGCAGCATCACCCTGAGCAGCCCCCAGGGAGGCAGGGGGAGCAGATAAACCCCCACCCTCATCAAAAGTGTTACAAACCATAGCCAAAAATGGGCTGATCAGCTCTGCTGCTTAGAAATATTAAAGACCTGATTAAAGAGTTTCTTTCTTATGATTTAAGTTAGCTACAAAAAAACCCCAAAAAACAAAAAACAACTTTTTAGTAAATTTTTTACCATAATTGGGCTTTTTCCTCCTCCCCCCACTTGTAAATTTTTCTGTTTTATTTTTTTAGTTTTCCTAAAAAAAAAAAAAAGAAAAAAAAAAAGAGAAATGTTCATGTACTTTAATAAAAGGTCTCTCCTTAAGATCAGACCAAGGCAGATGTGCTGCCCCATGGCACAGACATTCAAAGGCTATAACCAAACAACATAGCCACAATAGTCACTCAACAGTGTCTCTCCATAAAAAAAAAAAATTAAAAAATGATGCTAGTTACAATAAAATACACATGGAAAAAAAAGCATTTTTACCAAAAAAAAAAAAACCAAAACCAAGTTAATGGGAGAACATAAAAAAAGAACTACACAGAGCTGCACTTAAAGAGATCATCTGGGAATGCATATTAACCCCTTCCATGGAGAGGAAAGGTGGAATTATGGAAGCAAACCTAATTATGTGTTTGTATTAAATATGAAGCTTTCTGAGAGGCTCTGGTAAAAATTCAGTTTTCCTACAATAGTGGGCTGCTGGAGGTTCCAGTGCTTTTCCAGGTCAGGGAGGGGCAGCACGGGAGCATCCCAGTGCAAAAGAAAAGTGTTTAGTCAACTGAGTGGCCTTTTGGTTGAGATCCCAGCAGGTTACTGCAATCCACCTGATGTAAAAATCCAGTGGACACACTGGTAAGGAACATCACAGGAAAGCTCAGCTACCTGACAGGTCTAAGCTGGTGGCATTTCTCTGCCATGCTGGACTTTCTCTGTCACCACACACATCTCTAGCACGAGGGTTTCTGGAGGCAGAAACCTTCCTTGAGCTGCTGACACAGGCAACATTGACTCTGTTCAACAAAAGTGTCCTCAGCCTACCTGGAATTGTTTTGTGCACTTCAGCACTGATTACAAATCAGGTCCCTGTAGCTAAAACAAAATTAATCTGGTCTGAAACAGTACAAAGCCTCTAGACAGCCACCAGACAAAGGGGTGTCTAGAGAGAACTAAACTCTGCATCCAAATTTCCTTCATAAAGGGCTTTAAATGACCCAAGGGTAATACTTCTAAGGCTGCTCAGACCTGGAACATGTTGGCTGTATCAGCAATGAACACTTAGTCACTGAATTTTGGGGCTTGGCTTGCTCTAGGTCCAAAACAAATGATTTGAATTTTTTTTCCCTCTTTTCTTCTTTTCATACAAATATACAAAGAGTGTAAAAAAAATTTAAAAAGTGAACTTTGCTGCTTAAATGACAGACAAAGTTCTTGCACATTCAGAGCTGGGCAAATGAGGCCCACCAGGCAGGTACCTGGTGGAGCTTCCATCAGGGAGGACAACTCTAACCAAGCTGGGTCAGTGAAAGAGCAGGGAGGCTGAAGGCATGACCAAGTCATTTCCATCCACCTCGATCCTCCCTGTGATCTCAACTCTTCCTCTGGAAAGCACATGGAAGCCCCTCTTGCCCACTCTAAATCCTTCTGGAAATAGTCAAAAATTTGTTATCACCTAAATAGAAAAGAGGAGAAACACAGACTCTTTGCAAATGGCCCTTTGATCTGTATTAAAAACAGCTCTCAAAGTTCCTCAAGAGTTAGAATTAGTGGGGCAAGGGTGAGGGGCAGTTTAGATACGGGATGTAAAATATTAAAAAGTGCTCTGCAACTAATTTTTGTTTCATGTGTGTATGTGCCTGCGCGTGCACGTCCCTACACAGACACCCCCAGGCACATACACACACATATATACATATATATATATACACATACATATATATGTACGTATGTATAAAGTTAAAAAGTTCTATAGGATATGATTAGAACAAGTGTCCTTGGAAGGTCACGACTGGAGAGAGTGGGGCCTGTTGGGATGGCAGATGGGGCACTCGCCCTCTTCGGCGCACGTTTCACACAGCACTGCGTGTTGGCACGGTAACACCACCCGGTTCTCCTCCTGACACTTAAGGCATTTCACTGACTGCATCTGAAATACTGCCTGTAAGAGAGGGGGGGACATCATCAGCATCAGGGGCTCCCAGCAAAGGGGCTGTGCAGTTTGGGGAACAGCAAGGAGGCAGCAGGGAAGGGCTGTCCACGCCTTCATCTTCTGAAGCAAAAGCAAAGCGGCACAGCATGATGACTTTAGGACCTTTAGGATCAACAGAGCAGCTTTCACAGAATCACAGAATGTTCAGAGTTGGAAGGGACCCAGGAGGATCAGAGTCCAACTCCTGGCCCTGCACAGGACACCCCAACAATCCCACCAGGAGCATTGTCCAAAAGCTCCCGGAGCTCTGTCAGGCCATGACCACTGCCCTGGGAGCTGCTCCACTGACCAACCACCCTCTGAGGTAAAGAACCTCGTCCTAATATCAAACCTAAACCTCCCCTGTTCAGGCCATTCCCTCAGATCCTGTCACTGGTTCCCAGAGAGAAGAGGTCAGTCCTTTCTGACAGCTTTGCTTCAACTCTGTACTTCAGGCATAAAGAAGATGGAGGTATTTTCCTGTAAGCTGACTAAAACCCACTTTGGTTACATCTACCTGGGAGTGCTCTGATATGCTTTGGATTTCTGGCTATACTAAAGGAAAGGGGAAAAGCAGCTCTGTGTAGGAGCAGGGAGAGCAGAGCCCTGCCCTGCAGATCCCTGGCACTCACCTTGTCGACCTTCTCCAGGTTTGCCCGCAGCTGTTTCTGAAGGGTGTAGAGCGACGAGAGCGAGAGCGTCTCCAGGTCAGAGAAGGAGCGCAGGAACTGCGGGTCCTGCCCTGTGTGGATCCTCTCCAGCTCCTCCTGCAGTTTCTTCACTTGAAGCTCCAAGGCTTCCCTCTGCTCCCGGGCCAGTTCACATTCCATGTTAGCTGTGTTGGCGCGATCATTTGCTTCCTCTGCCTCCTTTTTCCAAGCATCACAAGCCTAGAGGTTCCAACAAAGAGGGTAAAAGAGGTAGTCTGAAAAATGAGAATTCCAGGCAAAAGTATCCATTTCCATAAACTCCTTCCCAGGAGCACGTTCTGTCCAATCTGCCCTGTTCCCAAATTCTGAAATACCCTTCGAGCTTTGCTTCAAGGCACTGCTCATTCCAGCCACCACATCTGGTTGGGCTGCGGCTCTCCAGATCTGGCTCACACAGTTAAGGGCTGAACTCTGCACACTGACAAATGATCATGGATCCAAGTCAACTGGCAGGTCTGAGAGACTGTCAAGCACTTCAGTGCATCCGTTATGACCCCTTGGCCTTGAACCTGAGCACATCAGGCACAGGGATTCAGTCCCTCTTTCAGGGGAGAGGAAAGACTGAGAACACCGAAGAGCATCTGTAAAACCTACAGCTCTATTCGCCACCTCAAAGCCTGGAAAACTCCCGTTGAAAGGCTGACACCCCTCTAGTCCTTTACCCTCCCTAATCCCTGTTCACAGGAGTTGCCCAAGTACCTGTTTAGCTTGTTTCCAAGACTCTTCCCACTGCTTTATTGTGCCGTTGGCTTCATCCAGTTCTTGCCGTAGCCGTGCCAGCTCCGCAGCACCTGGACCTGACAGAAATGCAGGTGAGGTACTGGGCGAAAAACTCCCCGAAGCAAAGTGTTCCCATATGCTGCTGTTCATCCCATTTAAACCTGTTTCACAGGGAAATAGAGAGGGTTATGTCACAGGTGCTGGCAATTTCCCCAGTTCCTCCCTACCCCTGTGAAATCCAGGACTCAAAAATGTGTAAATAGGATAAAAAGTTCATCCTAAGAATCAGTTTCATCCCCAGGACCCTGGAGTCCATCACGGAGGGACTTCATAGGGAAATCTCACACCATTAGGCCTCATCTTTAGTGATACAAGGAGGATCCATGATATTGAGTGGAGGCAGCTTTTGAACCAGGCTGTTTTTAGAAGCATCAATTTCACAGCAGAGCTGACTATCAGCCTGAATTCCCTCTCTCATAGGAGAACCTCTGACCTGCTTACTCCCTTCCTACTTTTCTGTGCAGCAGAGCCACCAGCACTGGTGAACAGACAAGGTTCACATAGCCCAGGTGATGTCTGCTGTCATGTTATACCCTAAGAAACTTCTGCTTTTGTCTCCTCAGCTTGGGGCTTAGAAAAGGTGTGTCACTTCCCAACAGTGACACGAAAATGTTCTAAGTCCTTACTGTTTCCATATGCAAGAAACAGAACTAACTGGAAAATCCTGTTTATCAAAAGACAGAGACAATAGCATCTACATCAGCTTCATCCTTGGCAGAGTTCCAGCACGGACCTAGTGATCAGCACTGGAGAAAACTAACCAACCACTTTCCTATTTTAGCTTGTTCAAATCACTTCTCTTTTCAAGAAGAAATTCAAGGCTTAGGAGACAAAGCAGTAGAAAAACAGATGTAGACAAAACTGGCTATCTTTTCACAGAGTCCAGTGTTTGTGTTCTTTCAGTAACAAAAATATTTTCACTTAAAATAAGTACCCACACTTTGGACTCAGGGGAGAACTAGTAGGAAAAGCTAATAGAGACAGAGTGATGTGGACTCTTACCCACACAGACATGCTCCAGTTGGATGTGGGAGTCATTTTCACACAGTGGTGCTCACCACTGGCTGCAAATATTCCTAAATTGAGCTGCATTGGATAATTCTGATCCTACAGCAGCTGAACTGACTGTGTGTGCAAGCAAACCCTGGAGCCAACTGCCTCTCACATAGGTCTAACCCAGCACCACTGACTTCCCATTTAGTACCAGCCAAGACACAAATACTTACAAAAAATACAGCTGAAAAAATAGTAACTTGTCTTCACCAAGGGCTTAGGCACATTAGCAAGTCATTTAGCAGAGCAGCAAGGGATCACTGCAGGCTCAGGCCACTTACCACAGATCCATTTCAGCTGCTCCAAAGGGTGCTCAGTTGAAAGCAAGAAGTTTTAATGGAATCCCAACTCACATTCTGCTTTTTAAACTTCAGTTTTCTTGAATGGGAACCTAGCACTAAGCACACACATTCTGCCACAATGCTGACCAAGCTGATCTTGTACCTTGTTTTTCACTCCCTCTTTCCATCTGCTGTTCTCACCTCACATGTGAAGTATCAAGCCCCTTTGGTCAGGAATATTTTGCACCTAGCACAGTGGAAACCAGCCCAGACCTAGGTATCTTTAACTCAACTGCAATACAAGTAAGTAATAACTACACACTCTACACCTTCCCTTATGTGCATTCAGCAAGTTACACAGAGATTCCAGACTGCCAACTGCTAGGCTACTGTTTTAATACCTTCTCAAAACCTCAGCAAAGGCTTTTTTTTGTACTACAGGAAAGCATCTTTTTTCTTATAAATAAATTACCTGAATGCATTCATGAATTTCCTGCATTTTGGGGGCTTTTAATTTGTATAAATACACCACTAAGATAAATATAACTCCTGTTCCTCCTGAAATTAAAAGCAGGCCTTATCAGCATGTTTTCCTTTCCTTGCTAAAACTGGGATGAACTGCCAGATTCAACCCTAATTAAGAGCAGAGATGCCCTTGGATGGCTCTTATGACAGTAACTGTAAAAGCTGTTAGAGCCAAACAAACAGCAGTGGCAAGCATGGCAGAATGGGTTTGGGCTGGGCAAACAAGGGGTGCAGTTACACAGGTAAGTATGTGCAGAAATGGGTTACAAAAGCATGGAATCATTTTATTAGGTTAAGCTGAATATTGAAGATTTAAATGTATCTCAAATTGGAAGAGGTATTTATGTCTAGTATCAAGAGGTATTTACTGTTACTAACAGAAGGAGCAGAACTGGTGTCACTGGAACCTAAAGTTTTACTCCTCAAGGTAACCCTGAGTCTTGATAATAAAATGGATTTGGCCCCTCAGTTCCTAGTTCTTCCTGATACAGATGAAGCTCCAAAGCACTTTCTCTTCCTTCAGCTCCTCGTACTGGAAAGAGATCCTCAAGGAGGGAAGGAGCAAAGGGGACAAAGCTGGAACACTAACTTTTTGCAAGTCCACACTGCAAAACTGGTGCAGAGTGTCAAATATGAGAAAAATTACAATGAGCCAAGCCTGCTCTAGAGCTCCCAGAAGCCAAACTGACCCACGAGCAGACCCAAGGGCAAACTGCAATCCCCACCTTAACTAACCAAAGCTGAGGACCCAGCTCTGAGTTGTACATGGAGTGAAGTCTCAGCAAAGCACTTTTGGCTGGCAAAGGCAGAGCTCTTTACTTGAAAGACATCATCAGAGCAAGTCAATTAACCAATCTGCCCCTTTTCCTCAGCCTAGAAACACAGGAAGTAGAGGGAATTGCTCCCTTGTTCACAAGGTATTAGCTGACTTTGGTGAAGCAGCTCCTAGCGCTGCTGCTGTTCTCATGGGAAGCAGAGATACAAATGACAGCAGTGAAATAACACAGTAAAATCAAAGCTGACTTAAAAGAAAATACTTACATGGCACAGACAGGCATGTACATGGGACACACAGACTGTGCATTTACCTAATGATCCATGAGAAGCTGATGTCCCCAGGAACGTGTTTTCTGATTGGCTTAAGTGTCCCTGGGGCTGATGGAGGAAATGCGATGAGAGGCTGACCGGTGGAGAAGGAGAGGCAGAGTGAAAGGAGGCAGAGCTTCCAAGGGACCCAGGGATATTAACAGGAGCAGAACTTTGCAGCAAACTCCCACCTGGACAAAGAACACACAGAGAGGATGGCTATGTATGACCATGAAGTATGGGCACAGGGCAGGAGTTCAGAGCAGAAGGCGTTAGGTTCCCTTTCTCCTCCCTAAGCCCCTCGGGATTTCCTCCACTTCTCCTCGTGTTTCATTCCCCTCTCAGCCTTTAAGAGGAGCCCTGAAGCTGCCATCCCGTGACCCATGTAGGTTAAGACCCTCCAGAATTTGTCCTCTCACTTCCCAGTTCTTCCTGATACAGCTGAAGCTCCAAAGCAATTTCCTCTTCCTTCACTCCCTCACACAGGAAAGAGATCCTCAAGGAGCATTTTGTCATTGGCCAAAGTAACAAAAGGTTTTCTGAGCAGAGTTCAGTCCCTGTCAGCCTAGAGAAGATGAACCTGGTATCTGGTGAAATATTTTGTAATGAAAAATTCACTTCTAAAACATGTGCCTTTAATCCTTCCAAACAACCTAGAGTGAGAAGACAATCATGCTGGGTGAGGTCATGATCTTAACCACTAAAAGTGACTAGCTTTAGTTAGTTTAGACATACCTGAGTGCCTGGATCTGTCAGTAACAAAAAAGCCCAAATAAACAAAAGCCCAAGCTCAAAAGACACCAAGTTCCCTTACACAAGAGGTCACTCTGCCTGCCACACACAGATTAAGGGAGATCTCAGCCCTGCTCCCTGCTCTCTCCTGATCTCCCTTCTTAGAAGATCACCAGGTGACACCCAGGCTTGATGTGCACAGAGGGAGAAGCAGTGCAGAGGATCTCAAAGCCACTGCAATGGGGAGCAGCAGAAGCAGGGCTAGCAGCAGACAGGTACAGTAAACTCTCCGACCAGGCTCATCTTTGGCAGAGGAGTGGAAGTAATATTCTTTAGTGTTCTTTCCATGGGTCCCTTCCTACCCCAACACAGCTCCAGGCAGCATAGTTTCCTTGGAAACCTTCAGACAACCAGAGTTAGCTCCTGTTCAAACACCTGCTTTACACAGCAAGGGTAGCCAGAAACTACAACCACTTCCAATAAGGTACAAGCTGCTGGACATCCATTTGAGACAGGTAGAAGAGGCCTTAGCCTACCTCCACGTATCAAAATGAGACAGACATTACAGGAATCAAATCAGCAGACCATGATGACACTCTGTGACAGATGGATAGCATTACCAGGTCAGTGAGTTTCCTGTTACAGCTAGGGAGAGTTTTCTGCTTAAGATGCAAATCCTTATACTTTGGCCTGTTTTCAAATGTATCAGATGCCTTCTAGAGTCTACTTACACACTCCAAAAAAAAAAGAAACAAAAAAAAAGGAGAAAAAAAATCAAGCAAGTCCCATTCAGTCTCAAGAAATATCCCCAAGACACCTGGGCCCAATGGCAACTACTCAGCTCTGCTAGTCAGCAAGGGCAAGTCCTCACTTCAGAGATGCTCAGTGGTTGCCAGAGTGGGTTGTAATTGCTGTTTTAACCAATGTTATTCTGGGGCTGGTTTTAGAGCTCTGTTGGGCTGGCTCCACTGAGGTGACTGGGCAACACTGCTTGGCAGAAGATAAAGAAAGCTCTGTTGCTTTCATGTACCTATCATGATGCCACTCGTGTGGGGCACTGTGCTGCTGTCAAATGTCTTCTCCAGGGCAGCCACTCCGAATTCATTCAGGTCCAGGTCATCCAAGGCAGACTCTGCCAGACACAGAGGTACCAATTATGTTATAAAGGACCAACAACTTCAAGAGATAGGATGGCCCAAAGAGCCTACATGCAGAGGAGCCTGTGCTCTCTAGTTGTCAGGGCCCTACTCGATGCCCTGTTCCTAACTGGTTTGGCAGAAGTGTCATGGGCAGCTTTCCAGTTCAGGTTCTTTCACCTGATCTGATTTCTTTTTTTATTTTCTGAAAACAAAAATCTGATGAATGAACAGCAGATCCCATAAGCCTTCCCCAAACTGCTCTTTTAAGTCTGACCCTAATATGTAGGAATACTTCTTATGGCATGTCTGGGTTTGGCTTCCCAAAGAGCCACTTGGAAAAGCAATACTAGTAGAAGGGAACACCTGAAAAACATCTCTGAGGTTCAAAGATAAGGGAAAATAAAGCTTATTAATGCCTGCAGGGGTTATATCTATTTGAACATGCCTCATCACTGATCATGATCAATATAATTCCATCCCACACATGCCCACTCCTTTCTATTATTATTTTTAATAAATTAGTGAGATCACCTCAAACTGCAGATTTAATTTAACAAAAAAAAGAAAAAAGAAAAAAGAAAAGAAGAAAAACAGGTGACCAAAAAAGCCTGTGCCTATCTAGGAGTGACTCTCCACTCTCTGGACTCTCATTCTCTTTTTTCTTACAGCCTTTGTCCTACACTCTATGAAGGGCAAGTCCTTACAATCTACCTGGTGGTTGCCCTGGCTATAAAATTGTCATTTAGAACGTTAAGGAGTTGTAACTGTGTAAAATGCCCTTGTGATTTCCTGCCTAGTCCAAGACCTCTTTGTCACTTTGACAAACCTAAAACTAAGGCCCCTTTACACCATGTGACATTTTGAGTAAGTGGCTCAGAGCCCTTCGGTTGGTCCCGTGGGTGAATTTCATCCATAATGACCTGCAGAAAACATCAGATGTGTCACAGTCACAGAACAAACTTACAGCCTCAGGGATCTGCCAGCACTGACAGAGATGGAAAACCGGAGGTCACTGCAACACCCAAACTACTCCAATTCTCATACCTGGTGATCCACGGTTGAGGAAACCCTATCAGCTTAAGGAAAAAAAGGCAAAGTTACCTATGACAGACTCAACGGTGTCACTGGTTGGGTAGAAAGGAAGGGCATTGGCATTCATGCCTGGAATGCTGCTGGTGCCGGCAGGGCTCGGGGGCGTTGCAGCCAGGCTGGAGGTGATACTAGAGGAGATGCTGGATGTCAGTGGGCTCCCCACTGGGAGAATACCCAGTATGTCCTGAAACAAGAGTTTTAA